ACTGAACTTTTTTTTTTTTTTTCTGTTTTGTTGCATGCGTATTTCAACTGTGACTGACAGTCTTTACTATTTACAGAATCTCTATCACTTTGGATACTAAAAGGCATGTGGACACTCTCCTGCTGTAGATGCCCTGCTTGAACACTCTTTGATTCTGTGAAAATTCTAGATCTTATAAACTAGTTCTATAAATTAGCTTGCAGATCTATAATATTTATTAATATAAGGACTGAGTTTGTAATAACTCCATGGCTGTGATGTAGAATTTGAATGCTGGCATCTTTTCTCTCCTTCTTCTTTCCTAGCTATGGTGTTTATAGCGTGTATGTAAAGTTAGGGTCTTACAGTAGGTATGGGTCTTGAAATTTACAGATGTGCCCATATGTTCCTGTGGAACTGAGTAACCTGTGTATACTAGCTTGGAGTTTCTGGCTATGTCAGGTTTTCTGTACGTAATGCTTACAGGATGTACAAGTATTCCTGAGAGCATCTGGAATGTTTTGTTTGGAAATTTAATACCATATATTCCACTTTACATGCAGGAATATTTTTTTTCCATTTACTGATATTCCTTATCTAGATGTATTTTACCGTGGCCAGCATTTCAACTGAACATTAATCTTTACCATAGGAGACTTGTCCTCATTGAGAGATGTGCACATAATAACTTCCTGTGGATGCTTTAGGTATAAGACAGGAGTATAAATTACTGCTATTAATGTTATGATGATAAAAAATTGTTATTGTTATATGTAATCTGCATATAAGACTGTCTTCAAAAAGTCATTATCAGTCTGCCTGTGTGCCCAGGGGCAATCTTCTCCCATAGCATTTGAGTCTTTCAAATTACAGAAAGCTAATGTAACTCTTGATGACATTTACAAAAACATATTATAGCACTTTTTTCAGTCCTCTCACAGAAATTTTTCTCAGTGAAGTTAAAGGGATTTCTGTGTATATAGAAACTGCAGGGCCTGGCACTTTTTAAAATCAAAGCCATGCTTTTTTTTCTTAAGCCACTCCATTTGAAGAAAATGTTAAGTAAAAATTTTTTTAATCTATTTTTTGATTTAAAGGGCCTCAGCCAAAGTAAGTTGCGTTCAGCTTTCAGTGCTCTTTGGCTGAGAGTACACATTCTAGATTTCTTCTCATAGCAAGTTCTTATGTAAGACTTATAAACACTAGAAAATTGTCATTTTGTAATGTAGATTCTGACAAGACCTTTATTGCACCAGTACATTAGGCAGCATTCCTGTAGATGCTAATTATGTTTGTTTGATTGTTTTGTTTTTGTTTTTGTTTTTTGAGTGTTTCTTTTTTTCCTAACAAATCCATGGTTACAAAAAAAAAACCCACATTATAATGGAAGTACATTGGTATGGCCTGATTATATGTCTGTAACTAGTTGTAGGTTGGTAGGTCTGATTTCAGATTCAGTTTGAAAGGAGTGTTAAATGATCTACCAGTGAAGTAGTCTAAACTCTTGTGGTGTGCATATGCATGTTCCACAGCATAAGGATTGAAAAAATAATCATTATGGCATAGGGAAGTGCATGTTAATTTTCTTAGTGGGAAACTAATTCACTTAAATGCCAAAAACACGTCACATTTTAAAACCAGAGATATTCCAACTTTTATTGTTTTCTTTTTAACGTTGTATTTATAATTTAAATTCTAGAAATCTGTGATTACATTAATTTTTTTGAAAACTCTGAACTTTTGTGGATGCAGGAATTAAATCACTGAATTAAGGATTGAGGAAGGTGAGGAACATAGGATCCTTGGAACTCTTCCATCAGCTACCAAAAGTGGTATAAATTTCACTGAATCTCCTTGAGATTTATTATTACACGTAATAGATCTTCAAGTCAATGTAATGTGTAAAAGTGTAAATCTTTGTGACCTAAGGGGCTTAAATATCTGTCTTTCATTAGTTTCTTTCACCTCCTAGCTTGCACTTGTAAGTATGCATTTATAGAAAGAATAAGAATCTATTATCTATAAAGAGAAATACAATTGACAAATCGTAGGAATGTTTTGGCTCTATTTATCTTCTAAGTATCCTACTGGAGTCTGGTAAAACAATAAAAGAGAGTTCTTGGTTTAAATGGAAAATATTGCTATTATTCTATCAAAGCATCACAATACATAGTATTACTTTCTGAAACTTTTTGGTTAAAATAACAAGATAATAGAATTAACTAGAATATGTAGATTTCAAAAATGATCCATCAGTCTATGCAAATTGCTGTGTTAATAATGTATTTTTAATGCTAAGCACATTTGACAGCCATTTCATCTCTCTTTCTAAACTGGAGCTTGGCAACCTGCATTAATTCTTATACTTTACAGATGTAACATTCAATGCACATGCCATGTAGTGATGTGATCCGAATAAAGTAAAGCATGTCAAAGCAATGTGATTATTAGTAAACAAGATTGTGACTGGCTTGTTGAATACAGAACAGAAAAATGAGAGGCAAAAGCCAGTGCTGTTTTAGTGTATCTTGCATCTTCACTGGCCTGAATTTTCTTCAGATATGGAAGTGTCAATCATAACTGGCACAATGGAACTTGGAAGCGATAAATAGGCATAAAATCAGAGTGGATGAGATTGAAATCGTGGCTGCTGAGTAAAGTTCAGTGAGAACTGTGGTAACTGTATAGCTTGAACAGACCAGAGCCCAAGGTTTCCTTTTCTGACTTGCCATTATTACCTGTAAATTAAAAGAGAGAGGGGAAAAAAAGTATTTTATCCTAATTATTTCTCTTCCCTGTTAATAATAAAACTATTATTATTTCACACCGTGCATGCCTCAACATGATTATTTCAGCAACTGGGATTTTCTTTCCTTCAGTGGGTTAAAAAAAACCAAAGCACAGAAATCCAATAGTTGCTGTTGTACTGCAAGTGACCATATAGATATGTTTGATTATAGCTCTGCTGTACTAAAGGTCAAAGGAAAGTTTTAGAATACTTAAGAGACAATTATCTAAAGTTCAGACTTTTCCAAAGGAATAGAACTAGAAATTATACAGACCATTATCTAAAGTTCACATTTTTCAAAGGAAAAAGGTAGGGGGAAATGCCTATGCCATTCCTTTGCTGTTATATGTCTGGGTTTGTGTTTGTTTTTTAATTCTGTCAAGAATTTATTTACTGCACGTTCTGCATGACATTAGTTTTAACATGATTATTCCCCTTTCAAGAAATTTTAATGTAACAATGTATCCTTGTACATGATTAAATATTATTTTGCTCATGATTCTAAATTCTCCACAGCACTTTTTATTTCTGCAAAGAAAATGTGCTTGGTTGCTTTATTCACTAGTAGATGCAGCAGTTCAATTCTGGGATAGGCTATCATTACTTCACTTAATTGGTAAAGAAACAAACAAACAAACGAACAAAATACATTAAATGTTCCAATTCTTTACTTCATCAATATATTTTCTCCCATGAAATATTTTCTTTTCTTGTGTTCTTATTCATATCTTAAATGAGTATAGAAAGTCTAGGTAACTAGAAAAGTAGAAGCTCAGTAAGAGATTTGATAGTACGTCATAGGCATGTTTTGTGAGTTGTCACTATGTATCACTATGGTGCAGTCAAGAGAGCACAAAAGCTTTTTACTTTTGAACCTGACATCTGCAATCAAACACGATAGCAGTTATCAATCTAGTTTTCGGAAGATATCACAGGTTTTTGACATTTATAGAAACCATGTCAGTTTGAACAATATCCTGTTATTATTTTGAGATACCCTTTGGTCACACTCTGGCATATATGTAAAATTACACACAACAGTTATGAACATAAGTTCTCATAGAAATGTATTTTTGTGAATATATACACCAATGTTGATATAGACTGTGTTTAATTATGAAACAAAATTGTTATACTAATGAACAAATAATGTTTTCTTCACCTACTAAAGATTGGTAACCTTGTAACACGCAAACTTAGAATCACTCCCTTTTAAAAAGGTATTCTTTTAGCAGGTGTTACAGCCAAAGACAGAAACAAAATAAGCCCTGTCTTCCAGAAACACAGTTGTATCTTTCAAAACACATTAAAAGCATTATTTTGAAAGAAAGTTACTGATATTTCTAACCTGTATTCTAGCGTAGTATGAAAAATACAGATCAGTTTTCAGCACAGGGCCTATCTTATGAATATAGATCATAGAATGGTTTGGATTGAAAGGAAGCCTTAAAGATCATCTAGTTCAGTCCTGGAGTACATCTTCCACTAGATCAAGATACTCACAGCCCTGTCCAGCCCGAGTTTGAACACTTACAATGATGGGGCATCCACAGCTGTTCTGGGAAACCTGTTCCAGTGTCTATCCACTTTCATCATGAAAAATTTCCTGCTGATCGCGAATCTACACTGAATGGTTTAAAACCATTGCCCCTTCTCTAGTTACTGTAAGCCTTTCAGTGTCTGTCTCGCAAGTGCAGTATATGTATACAAAGGCTACACTATAGTTTCCCCACAGGTTTCTTTTCTCCATTATGTACAACTGATGCTTTGTGTTGCCTCCTCTGTTTTTGTGCTAGATCAGCAGGTACTGAATATTCTTTCACACTACTCTTGTTATTGCCAGAATAAAGACAAATTCTGGACAGTTTATGGAAAGAAATCACATGGACAAGTGTGATCAGTGAATCATTGGTGTTGCATTCATTGGTTTTGTTTCTGCCATTCTAGTTTAAATGTGTTTTATTTGTTAACCCTTTTATAGAAAGGTACGCATTATTAATGAAATATGCAAAAGAATTATGATTAAGTTATATAAAAGTATGTAGTCTTTTGAGAGACATCTGTGTCATTGGACAACTTTATTGGTTTACAGTCTCTAAAATAGGGATTGCAATCCTTCCTATGTGTCATTATTTCTTTGTCTTTAGGTTTGAATTTTAAAGAAAAACAGAAATACCAGTGTTATTACAAATCTTTTGAAAATCTGTGTTTAACATTGTGAGGTCTGCAGTACTGTATAGTAAGTACTACAGGAGGCATGTACGTGAGTTAACAGTTGTGCAAAGAGCTGAACGTCCTGTCTGGTGCATTTGCAGTTGACTGCTAAATATTATATAACAAACATTTCATAGAATTAGGTAAGTTCTGGTTTCTCTGCATGTACTTCAGGAGTATCTAGTGAAGCCTTTATAATAGCAAGTTAATCCCTCTTTTATTTCAAGTTTTTCTATGAGAATGGATATCATTTATGAACTGCGAAAGGAAATGAATGAGCTTCTTTTTTTCATTAGAGGAAGCAGGAAGTACCATAATAAGGATATTCTTTCTGCTCTTCTATTTTTGCCAAGTCACCCTCTGCTTTTAGATAAACATGTACACAAAGCCCCTTAAGATAATGACATCAGAAAATAGTTTTGAAGATCTAATAAACATAAAGAAACACATATATTTGCTTCTGAAGTATATAGCTGTAAAGTTTCCAATTATGATTTTCTTTCTTCATGTAAGTAACATATGCAGCATAGATTTCTACCACAAAGTCCTTAATACCATTAATGATTTGATCTTTCTGAGAAAATTATAACAGGTAGAGAAAAAGAAAGGAATATGTCTGTGTAGTTATAAAGTTGAACAACAGGAAAGTCTACTCTTCTCAAAAGTATTACAGAGATCATCAGAAAATTAAAGATTGCAGTAGTGTGTGCAGAGAAAATGACACTTGGATATAAAGTGACTGCTTCTGTTTTTGTTTTTTGTTGTTGTTGGTCTACCATTTTATTATCTGACTTAAACTTGCAACATATGTGTCTTGTGCAAAGGGGAGATGAAAAGGTTGACTCCTGTATCTTAATTTCACATCAGGCTTGGTGTCAATGCCATTAGAGTCACTCATGTCTGAAAAATACAAAAGTTGCATTGTATTACAGATATTACATTTACTTTCAAAATATTCATCCAAAAACCTCAAAAGAGATCGGGAGTTCTTGAGAACAATTGGAAATCTGCATTAAGCACATGGTCCTGTTTTAAGCATGGCCTCAGTTATGTTTATTGTAACCACTTTTATCTAAAAATCACACTGGACATCTTCTGAAGACCTACCATACTGTCACGCTTTGTTTCAGCTGTGACAGAGATATTCCCACAGCAGTCTATCTAATGTTTTTTTCACAAATCTGCTTGTAGGCAGATCTAGTAGAAGCAGACTCCAGAGAAAACTGAAACGTATTCATTGAACTTGATTTTAAACCAAGATTTGGGGAAAACTGTAAGGTGCAGCTAGTTACTTTATGCAGTTAGTTAATTTCTTATAGAACTGAAATAAACAGTGCCTGACAGTTTCATCCTCTAGTTGCTCATAAGTTTTTTACTTCCTTCATTTTTGGTCAAAGTATTCCTTTTCTGCCTCCTAAATGTTTCTTTGTCTAATGGAAAATGGAAAATGATTCAGCCATTCAGAAATCAGCAAAATACTTCAAAACAAAACAAAATATTTCAGACATTAGTCTGCATAAAATAAAGGAAATAGTGTGAAATTAGTTGAATGTATTATTATTATACCAATGTCATTCTCTGAGACAAGTAGCTTTCAGTATGATCCATAGATATTGTGGTGTCCTAGTCCACTTTTTTGTATTAACTGTAAATTTTGGAAACTGAGAGTTATCTAAATGAGTGATTTGATTTTAAGTTTAAATAACATGGTAACAATGAGCTGCAGATCAAAGTTCTAGTTATGTATTTTTGGAGATGTGTTTTATGTGACCTCATGCTGATGGAAAAAATTGTGATGAGTTAAGAAAATTATTAAGATCACTTAACTTACACTAACCTTTAAGCTTGCAAGATGGAATATAGGTACTAGTCCATCCTGTGTATTTGGTACATGATCAATGAAATGGAATTTAATAGGACTGTGGAATTTCAATCAAGTTCTTCAGTCCCTTCCCTTATAGAAGAGTAGAGCATTTAGGGAGGCTCACTTTGATACTGAGAATGTCAAAGAACTTTCTGAATATGCCTGCCTGTCAGTAAGGACTTAATGTTTCTCTCTACCTGTGGCAGGTTGCCTCAGAGCTTTATTAATAGAGAGGGTTGAGGTTTTTTGTCTATGTGTGATTTTCCATGCTTTGTTAAAAGTAACGTGAATAAATATGTAACCTGAACAGTGCTACAATGAAGGATCAGCAGGTTAATTGGAAAGATGAGTGGAAAGTGATCGTCCTCTCTCCTGCTGAGAACCTGCTGCCAAGTTAATTCATGCAGCAATGCTGGAGGTTATTCCTGGAGGAGATTCCTGCTGTTCTCTCAACTATGGGTAAAGAGAATGTCCACAGAGAGTAGAAAGCAAATCAGATAAATTGAGTTTATTGCTAATCAGCTGCTAGAATTTATTTGCAAGTTCTGAGAATCAACTAAAAAGTCAATTGGAGAGTCATTGTTCTTCACTCAAGAGTCCTATTTTCAGCAGCATCAAGGGATATTTAGTCTTAGGAGACAGCAAAGAAGGGGAAAACATTTGTTGCTAAACAAAATCATTGGCAAAATTATTTGGTTATTTTTGCTTTTTTGCTTGTTTGGTTGGTTGTGGGGTTTTTTTGTTTGTTTGTTTGTTTGTTTTTCCTGTTGGCCTCTTCTTACTGCTATTGCTTATTTCCTCCCTGGGGAAAACAAATTGTCTAACACAGTAGTTTTTTTCTTCTCTTCTATTCTCTTGATACCTTATTATATGATGTTAGCTATTCAACCATTATAACATCTTTTACACTTGAATAATGGGGATAAATGTCCCAAATATCCTCCTTGTCTCATTTCTTCTGACCAGAATTAATAACCAATACTGGTGCTAGGTAGTTTGTAATACACAGCACAGCTTCATTGATTGGCAGAAATAGGCACTTTGTTTTCTCCATCCCACTTCAGTCCTCTTGTTTTTGTCACCTATAGATGCTAGTGTTCAGTGTATCAATCCAGTCTTCTGTCTTGGACAGATAAGAACTGTACCAGGCTTATAGGAAGGAAGAAACTATATAGGTATGGATTTCCAGAACACAAAATCGCTGTGCTATATAAATGTAGAAATCTTTGGAGTTCTGAATAAATGACTACAGATGTGACTCAGTATTCTGAGTGGGACTTCTCACAGAGAACTGTAAACTGAGCCTCACACCGTTTTCTCTCTTAAAAGGTTAAAGTGAAAGGATTAAGGATGCAACTCATGCTGAGATATTTTTAATTTTTCAGGAGACAGTCAAGTGGACAGACAAATTTTTCATTGTTTGAAAATGAAAGTGCTGAGGAGGAAAAGAATGCTATCACATAAGAAGTGCACATTAGTCATATATTTTGGTAAAACTATATACTGATATTCAGGAAAACATAACTACTTTTTTTTTTTTTTTTGGCTAATATAACCTAATGTAATGTTCCTTGCATGTCAGTTAGATAGCAAGTATGACTCTGAGAGTGGTTTATCTTTCACATGTATGCATTAAATCATTGATACATTCAGCCAGCAAGAAGGAGTGCAGGTTTTTCTTAATTTGAAAGGTGTGCTAGTTTTTGACTTGAAACATACTTGCCTTTTCTACTTCATCATAGAAGCAGATAAAATAATGAGCTATCATCAAGGAGTTGCATCCTGTTTGAGTTGTCAGGATCCTTAAGAGCTCATTCTCTGAAATTTATCTGTAGTAGAAACATATGCTTCCTTTAATTTTAAAAAGAGCACAAGAAAGGACTGGTCTATTTATTTAGCCCCAGGGTGCTATCAGTTGCGATGTGACTGTTTCTAACTTGAATAGATAAAAACTCTGGATTCCTGGAAAGAAAAATCTTCAGAATTCTTTTTGTTCTGCAAAGGAGTTCTGAAGTGTTCATATGAATACTTCTTTACAATTTGTAGGTAGATCTTCACTTGTGTATTCTAAATGCTATGAAGATCTCTGATACCATTATATAACCTGTGATGTAATTTGTAGGAAGAACTTCTCTAGGTTGTATGAATGTGATTGGTAAGTTCTTCCACCAAGGAAGGGAGACAGGAAAACTACAAAATCAAAGACCCTGAACTTCAGGTGAAGACTGTTTAAAGTTCAGTTTCATGGTCACTGAATGAGAAAGCAAGCCTCCTGTGTTCCTTTGTGAGAATCAGCTCCCCCATATTCTTAAATATCATATAGTTTTTCTTCATCTTTTGTTTTATGTCAGTAATAAATTAACAGTTATCCACTGATATAGGTTCAACTTATTATTATCAGGTCCAAACCATGATAATATTTAGTAATCATATTCTGTAACTGCTGTTATTTTCCTTACTAGTATATATCTGAAAGACATCAAGGATAAGATATTGCATATAATTTTTGTTTCTGTTGGAGGAGGGGAGAGGCTGGAGTGTTAAAAATGTCTATACAGTATTAGTTTTGTGAATGTTTTCTCCTTCTTTCTCTGCATCTTTCTTTTCTACTTCATTAACAGCCAGCTCTTTGGAACATACTTGTGTCTTTTATGTTGTGGTAGTGGTATATGCTGCACAAATACCAGGGCTGTCAGAAATGTTCGTGGTGATCATAATCAGTGCAAATTAAACATCTCTAAACTATTTCATGTTTCCAAGTGAGCATCTGACCAGTACAAAGATCAAAGTAGATACAAAACTTTCTTATAGTCACTATATATATATGCAACCACAAGTTGTCATGTACTTCAGCTACCTTATTTTTTGGTTCAAACTCAGGAGATGTAAATAAATCAGTGGCTTGCATGTTTGACATGCTCACTGATCGTAGTTTATAACTGAGCATGTTGACACATACATGATCATTGATGTTTGAAAGGAATATGTTGTTAAATTGCTAGAATCTCTAATTACCTAAAAGCACTAGAAGATCTCAGGTGCACACCCAGGAGTATTATTCACAAACTACCCGTGTGTTGAAAGACCACTTTAGATTCATACAACTATATATGATATAACCTATATGATTTCTCTAAGCAAAATCAAATTTATTGGAATAATTTATTGAAGCAATCAATTACAATTTTTAGTATTTAAAATAGCATTTAAAGTATCAGAGATACCATGTTTGAATGAAACTGAGAACTAAATGATTATGAGAAATTTAACTGTGTTGGAGAAAGAGGACAAAAACACATGCATAATTAATACATCAAATGTTCAGCTTGATACACACAGAAAAAGCAAATGTCTGCATTTGCCAGTAAATGGACTGAGTCTTAATACCATCACTTCTACAGTCATATTTAACTCTAGCTATATTTAACTCTAAGGCTAAACTTAAATATCTGTACAGGCCTCCATTGGCATCATGAAAAAAATTCAACTTATTACCTTACTAAAATGGTGTTAAACCATTATGAGAAAAAGAAGACAAGTACATCTAAGTAAAAACAAACATATACATGACTGTGTAATTTAAAAAAAAATAGTGATGAATAGTGATGAACAAACATCAATAGGGATGTGCGCAGAGAGGAAAGTGAGGAATTGCCATTAGGTTCATTACTCTTGACACAACAATGCATATGTTGTACTTATTCAATTGGGGCATGGCAAGCCAGACAGGAAGGAGAATGACCACTCTATCACATGCTGATGATTTGATGAGTATTGTGAAATGCATATTTGTTTGCGTAGATGTTTTAATGAATGTGTTAAGAAAAAGCAGTGGCTTTAGCAGTTATGCTATGCAGTGAAACAATGCAAATTTTCCCTCTTTCAGATAATACTCTCAGCATTTTGGCAAAGCACAATGGATTCAGTCGGCAGAAACAAGAAGTATACCTACTGCCAATCATAATAAGTGATAGTGGAAATCCTCCCATGAGCAGTACTAGCACTCTTACTATTAGAGTCTGTGGTTGCAGCAGTGACGGTATTGTCCAGTCCTGTAATGTTGAAGCATATGTACTTCCTATTGGACTCAGCATGGGAGCCCTAATTGCAATATTAGCATGCATTATTTTGCTACTAGGTAAGTATTCATTTCACAGCCTGATGTTCAAAATCTTTCTGATTCATAGGCAGCTGTAAGTAAGCAGAGAAGTAAGCAGAAGAAGGACATAGAATCTAATGGAATCTGCAGCAGTACTGAAGAAACACATTTCAGAACTGTGTCTCTTCTGTACTAAGAACTGAAGAAAGACATACAAAACAAAGTTCCAGATTGAAAGAGTGTTACATATAAAATACATTAAAAATTATGAGACCAAAAACCAATTTACATAAGTAAAAAGGTGAACAGAGTGTATACTGCACCAAATGGAAAATAGTTTTGTTGTATTTATAAGATCTGTATGAGTTTACTCTGGATTGTAATGGCATAAGAGAGACTTTTTTAAAAGATAAGAAGCACTATGTATTTTAATTAAATAAAACATTCTGATAGAACAGTGAAAGCCTGTTTCCATACTTAGCAGCTTCAGTTTATAACGGAGATTTACATTAGTAACTGAGATTTTAATATTAAACTACAAAACAGCAAGTGTAACCAATTTAGAACTTATGCATCTGTCCATGATTCTGGAACTGATGTACCTGAGATCTTTCTTTCTCTCTTGCTGTTTTATTCTCTTTTCAATTATATAAGAAACACCAATTTCCTTCTGTCATTAGGGCTCTGTATTCAGAAAAGCACTCTCAACTTCTTGAAAACTTCGTCCTAAGTGCAGACCATTATAGACTAATGTTCATTGAATGATGTTAGTTTGACATTACCTAGATTTGGATCTTTTTTCAAGTGGAAAAAGGAAAAAGTTGTTTAAATTTGAGTTTCAAAAGTGGAATTATGCATTATCTTATGGCTTGTAAAAAAATTGAGTATCAAATGTAAATTTGAACTGATAATAAAAAACAGGACCAACCAGAGGTTCTGATCAAATGTTCATCACTTGAATGAAGTTGAACTTATAGGTCTTTCTTCTTTTTTCTACCCTTATTACCTTTATTTTCGCAAAAAACCAACCTATTATCATCGCTAACTATGCTTAACATGTATTATTTTTATTTGATTTTTTTTTAATCTAATTGGCTTGTGATGTTTTTTTGCAGTCATTGTAGTGCTGTTTGTAACACTAAGAAGACATAAGAATGAGCCTTTAATCATCAAAGATGATGAAGATGTGAGAGAAAATATTATTCGCTATGATGATGAAGGAGGTGGAGAAGAAGATACAGAAGCTTTTGACATTGCAACGTTGCAAAATCCAGATGGAATTAATGGATTTTTGCCTCGTAAGGATATTAAACCTGATCTTCAATTTATGCCCAGGCAGGGTCTTGCGCCTGTTCCTAATGGTGTTGATGTTGATGAATTTATTAATGTAAGGCTTCATGAAGCTGATAATGATCCCACAGCTCCACCATATGACTCTATCCAGATTTATGGCTATGAAGGAAGAGGTTCAGCTGCTGGTTCCCTTAGTTCATTGGAGTCCTCTGCATCAGACTCAGATCAGAATTTTGACTACCTCAGTGAATGGGGTCCTCGCTTTAAAAGACTTGGAGAACTTTACTCAGTTGGAGAAAGTGACAAAGAAACTTGACAGTGGATTACAAACTTTTTCACTGTTGACTTAACGATCATGTAATATTCTAGGGCCACTGTTGTTAGTTAAAACTAATGTGGCTTTTTGTTTTAGAGGCAAGTTTAGCGCCAGTCATCTATAAAATCAACTACATTGTAATGTTGAACCAAATAAAAAAGTATATGTTAGGAGGTTAAGTCTTGTGGAGTGTGAAGTAAAGTATGTGGAGTGTCTAGAAGTCTTTGGATATTTGATATTCACTTGACCACTCTGAAGATGGAGATTTAGATCTTTGATTATCTTCAGTGAATTGAAAAGAATGAATTGGTGCTTTCTTAGGAAATGGACTTGCAGGGATTTTGCTGTTGAACAGTAGCTCCTGCCAGTATGTGTAAAGCTAATGGTTTGTTTCTGCATTGCCAACAAAGATCCCGACTCAGAAATGTTAAAAGCAATATCTTGGTCTTCTTAGCAATGCTGAATAGAAATAGCATTGTAAATCCTTACTGGCTTCTACTGTGCAGTGACCATGCATTGTACATACAGTAATTGTTGGCCACGTAACCACAGACTGAATATCATCTTTAAATATTGTGTCAAGCCTTAAAATATTCACATGTTCTTAATCCATTCCAGTTATGGGTAATAAATCCTACTCACGTGCAAAGATTCAGATGCAGGGGTCCAAAACCTTGCTTTACAAAAGGAGCTTTTTTCTAAAAGAAGGATCAATCCTGTACTTCTGAAAGGAAAGAAAAAACTGTGAAAGGGGATGGACTTACATATATGAAAGAATTACTGATTTTATTGCTAAAGATCGGATTTATTTGTTTAATCTTTGAAATAAATATTTTATTGGTGTCCATTACTGCTTTTATTTATGAAGATTGATAATCTATAGAATAAGATTATAAAGAAAACTAAATTGTATCATTTAGATTTTTTTCTATATATAGTGAATGTTTAATACATGTACATTTTGAAAAGCAAAATGACAAATTGTTGTAGGTTAAAGCAGTAACCTCTCCATTTGCAGTAGCAGAATTTTAAGAGATTGATGGCAGGAATAAAACTTTCCCAGAAAAAAACTTTTGACAGTTTTGTATCTTCTTCATAAATCTAATACCTGGTGTTTTTAATACAAGCACAAACAGCTGGAAGTAAACTGGTTCATGTGAATATTTAAACTATAGACTTTTAGAAATCCACACATAACACAGTACAGTAAAAAAAAAACATGCTTATAGTTCTCCACTGTATTAGAGCAGGAACCAGTGTGTACATAATTTTACTGCTTATGTTATTAGCATTTCTTTTCTATAATATTCATAGTGATGCACCAGGGCTCTTGCACACAGAGAAAGAACAGCACTAGAAGTTGCAAGCATACTCAATTTGTAATGCAAACTTGCCATTTAGAAGTAGCAATTGTATAATAAAACTATGTATTACATGCAAATCATTTTAATTTTCTACTTTGTTTTGATGCTATATTATTGCTTGTTTATTTACTCCATGTATTGTATTCAGAGAAACTCCTGTATTGTTTCCTACTTTGTGAAATATATTTTTATAAATACTTTTCTTGTTATTGCTTTTCTTTCAGTTCTACCTGTACACTGCAGAAAGGAATCTGCTTGAATAACTTCATAGTCTGTGGAGGAATGTAGTTTCTCCAAAATCATTTATTTATTAGATGAATACAGTCAAAATAAAAAGGAGAATGTTTGAAGCAATTTTTGACAGTGTTTGGAAAATTAGATATGCAGCAGGCTGTGACCACAGGAGTTATGTGTGTCTAATTTACTGCACCATGCTGAAAAATAACCTCTCTCCTTTCTTCTTTTCTTTTCTTTTCTTTTCTTTTCTTTTCTTTTCTTTTCTTTTCTTTTCTTTTCTTTT